GCTCTCTCTCTCATTCTCTCTGTCTCAAATAAATAAAATAAAAAAAAAAATTACACATAGATCATAACACATAACAGAGCGAAACAGAACAAAACTCTGCTGTGTATAAGAAATCAGCAGGATTTTAAAGATGTACTAAAAGTTAAAATCGACAACCTCTTAAATTGCTTATAAACTATTTGACATAACCGAAAGAATTAAGAGATCCTACTACAGAAAAAGAAAATAGAATTTTTCTCGAGGGCACTTGGGAGGGTTTTCTTCTGAGGGTGCTGACCGAGTGATTTCTCCACAGAATCCAATCAGGAAATGGGACAATTTCAGTTTCCTGGATTCTCACTGGAAAAAGCCTTCAGGAAGAAGTTATTTCTTCTTTACACCATTTTCAAATTCCTCCAGGCCACAACTATGGGCCCTGAGTCCACTTACTGCTCACCCGTGGGGTCCTTCACACCCAAGCTGCACGGGACGGCACTCACCCTGGGTCCCCACCAGAACCAGAGGGATCTCGCTCGTGTTCCGGTAGTTGGCCATCCGATTGTAGTAGTGGTAAACGGTCTGGAAGCTTATCTCATCCTCTAAGCTGAAGACAAAGATCACAGCATCCACCCACATGGCAAACTAGGGAGAAAAGAGGGCAGAGAGGAGGAGCTGAGTGACAAGGCTGTCTGTCGGAAGGGTGGGGACAGCGTCTTCGTGAGCACGGGACGCGTGACCCCTCGCTCAGGCCAAGTCCGATGGGCGCCTGACTTCGGCCGTAACACGTGGCTGCGGCATATCCTCCTCGTAACATACCTGGAATGGGACCTTCACCCCCTTCCCACTCAGGCCACCCCAGGCTCCTAGGAGTACAATCCACACATGCTTTCCCGTGGGAATGTCTACCCTCTGCCCCGATCCAGCCAGCCGCAGTCGTACAAACACAAGGCAAACCCAGCCTCGCAGAGGAGCCTCCCCAAATCGGAAGACAGGTGCTGACAGTGACCCTGGAGCTTTCGGTTTCACACTAACTCCCTTCCACAGTACCCCCAGGAGCCTGGCTGGACTCCTCTGAGATAGGGCGACTCCTCTCTGGGCTCCTGCGGTCTCTCAGAAATCCTCCACCCAGGCTGTGGCCCACTCCTTCTCACAAGAGGAGGTCTTTCTACTGGAAAGATCAGCTGCCACTGAATTCTTTTTTTTTTTTTTTTTAAGTAATCTCTACACCCAACTTGGGGCTCGAACTCACAACCCCGAGATCAAGAGTCGTGTGTTCTAACAAGTGAGCCAGCCAGGCGCCCCTGCCAGTGAATTCTTAAAGCCCCCTCTGAGGTAGGATTACTTATGGTTAGAGAAATACACAAAGCTAATTAAGAAAATGAGCAAAAATCAGGGAAAAACATTAAAATCCCACAACAACCCGACTCTTGCCATTTTATTCTTGTTTTACCTGCATCCAGGTGAACCCTCCATCACATCTACTTTGGGGCAAGTTACTACTGCCAGGCACGTACTATCTCATTCAATACTTATAACCACTTGTAAGGTTGGAGCCTAGTGAACGGAAGGCCCCGGAAGCTCAGCAGCCTCCCAGACTCACACGTGGGTGCGGCAGCAGAATCGAGAGCAGGTCAATCCGTCACCAAAGACCCTCCTCTTTCCACATGAAAATGAAAAATAATAATAATCCTGTTTACTTTCTGCGAGAAGCCACTGTTCCTAGGTAAGTTTTTACCAGCCTAGCCATCAGCTCAGATATATCTGGGGGAATTTTTTGTAGGTTAAGCTCTGACTTCACATGTGACGGAAAAGTGGTTCAGTTGTAAGTGAAAATTCTACGTGATAAAATTTAAAAAAACGTGAAGTCCCAAGGATAACAGTAGAATTAAATGAGATCAAGATCTTGTTAAGAATGAATCCCCGGACAGGCCTGATGCCCCTGCAAAGGGCTCAGGACCCAGGTCGACAGGGGCATCTCCTTTCCCGTTTCTCTACCTTGAGGTCTGTTTTCCCGTTCTCTTCCAAGAAGTACGGTGAAGCTTGCCCATGTGCATGAGCACCCAGAGAGCAATCGTGGTCCTCCGGGACCAGAGGAAGGCTGTGTGAACCCCCATGCGGAGGAAAAGCAAGCCGCACCCCACTCTCCCATGGGTGGGTTCTGGCTGCCCCAGCACCTAGCAAGTGGTGAGCGCTCAGTAAGCAGCCCTACCCATTCCAATGGCTGCTCCCACCGACGGCCACACACAAAAAAGCCAGTTAATCGGCACTTTTTACACAAAGCTAAGAGGACACTAGTAGCCACAAAGAAGTCTTACGATCTTGTTCATGAAGCTATTATCTTAGGTGAGTAACATGAAATATTCTGGAACAATGAAAAGAAAGACCAGGCTTCCACATGCCCGAGAAGGGTAACTTGAAAACAAGGTCCCCCCCCCCCAAGAATATTCAAGCATGCTCTGCCTAATTTTGTACAAAATCCTGTCCATAATTTTGAAAGGCTCTGTGCTGATATCCCCGCCCACAGAAGAAATCTTTAACTAGGGTACGCTTCTGGGCTAAGTAAGGCTCCTGAACAAAGTACGGCTAGAATAAAGGACTGGTCCTCAGTGAACTGAGTAAACACGTTCTCTCAGCCAGAAGCCAAGACAGAGATCTCTGAGGGGGCCCTGGTTCTATCCCCGGGTTGGTGCCATCGGCAGGCAAAGCACCTGGGTCTGTGCCCCTCCACCACGTCCAACCTTGGGCAAGATGTCATGGCATCAGTGTCCTCCGTGAAGACAGGACTCCTAAGAGCATCCTCCCCAGGGTCTTCTGGAGGATGACATGAGCGGACTCTCACAGGGCAGGTGTTCACCCACGTAATATGTGCTTGGCTAGTAAATTATGACATAAATAAAATAATAAACTGGAGATTAAGTAAACTAAAGAAAGGTTTTCCACACCTAAGCTTTTTTATTTCCAGGATGCCCAGCCTTCAGGGAACTTCCAAAGAAACCACACTGTGCCACACATTGGTTTTCAGTAGGGGTTGACTCGCGCCAAGAAGCCCGGCAAGCAGCCTGGTGGCCCCCATCAGATTTCCAGACTTCAGACCAGCAACTTTCTAAATCATCCCACTGCTCTAGGGAATAAACCGCTTACAGGGAACGGGAGAGGACTGTGGACATTTCCAGATGTCACATCAACAGTCGACAAACCAGCGCAAGTTCTGTTGTTCTTTCCATCTTAAAAACGTGAAAACCAGCCACGGAGACCTAACTTCCCCCTAGGATTTTATGTGAAGGAGCAACAGAATTAGTTTATTAGAGAAAACATGTTCGTAGGGCCTCTAGTCACCTTTCTTGCACACACCTGACTGATTTCTAGAGCCACCTGTTGAACCAGAACTTGAACAAGGGAGCCAAGGTGAGAAGCTGCTTACCGTTTTTTGCTTGTAGTACTCACCTGCGCCTCTGGGGGGCCCCCTTCATCTCTAATCAGCAGCAGGTAGCTCTGTCCATCAACAACAATCTCTTTCTTGAATCGGCCACCTGCCACACACAAAACATCCTGTTACGGAGGAAAGACGGGGTGTAACGAGGGCAAACAGACGTGGGCTTCGCTTGTGGAAAAATACACCCTCGGCTGTCACCCTGGAGGCAACTCTCAATATTTAGGACCAGCAACCACTGGATTTTAAAAGTCCTGAACTCAGATTTTAAGTATTTGTCTTTAAGGACCCATGTTCACTTCTGGTTAGAGTCCACAGCCTCCCAGGCAAAGCCAGGGTCACCCATGGCTGAGAATGGAAGAATTTTAACGTAGACTTTGTTTGTAAATTCAGGAATTCTCTCTCACTGGGAACACGCTGATGCAGAGTTCAGAAACACAGCACTGAAATGATCATTCTCTTGTTGGGTTCGCAAAACTGAAACGAATTTTTCATGTTCCACAGGTGCCGAGTCTACAACGTTTTGATAAATTCAAGAGCTGAGAACCGTATTCTCCTCAAGAGAAACCCAGTTTTGAAAGGAAAACACAGAACATCATGGGAATGGTGTCTCCGTATTCGCGGAGTACGGGGGGGATGCTGAACTACCACACACGTGTTAGACAGAACTACGGGATGGCTTCTCCGCACAAGTCGAGACAGAGCAGGGCAGCTGGCTGGCGACGGGGTTAGAGAGCACGCTGTGTTAGCGAGAAACCACCAGGGACCCTGCCGGGGCGCCGTCATTTCTCGGAAGGGGGATCTGGCCCTTCTCATCTCGGCCCCGCACATGCCCAGCTGGGGAGGGACACGCAACTGTCCCGTGCGTCTCCTCGTGGTGCCCCGGACCACACTGCCAGGCCTCTCCCGGACACGGGAAGGACGTCCGCTTCCGCGTCCCTCCGCATCTCCAAAGACAAAGCACCTTTCGAGATTCTGGGCTCTGAGTCCACTCCAGCTAACCCTCACCAGGATTCTGAATTGTTTTTGAGGGAAGAACGCATCAGCACCTGCTCTCATTCTCAGTCCTCGGCACAGACGCCTTCCAGAAACACTCCCTAAACCCCGGATGACCGCGCCCTGGAGAACCACGCTGGCTCCAGAGGCTGCGTGTGTGCCCTCTGCCTCCCGGGGCCACCCTGTCCCCTCCGGACGGGCGGCTGCCAGGTGCCCTGCGGCTGGCCAGCCAGCGAACTAACCTTTCAAAGCGGGCCCACGTCTGCACGCACGCTCTCCTCGCCTTCCTGGGCCCGCAAAACACACGTTAAGTCTGCTCAATAACAAAAACCGAAGACAACTTTCCAACATCCAAACAAAACAGATAAACGCTCATTCTGCTCCCCTGCACGGCCAGCACTGAAGACCGCGGGCAGAGCACAGAGAACGGTCAGATGGGGGAAGGTGACGGCGTGTTTGCTCGCTGGATCCAGACAAGCTGGGCCCACTTCCTGCGCTCGTAGGAAGACTGGCAGATGACTCCTGGTCCCTGAACCACAGACTCCGTGTAGGTAGAAAAGCACAGCACCCTTTCCCCGCTGGGCTGCCGTGATTATAAAATGAGCTGGAAACCCCGGGCACCAGCAGAGCCCCTGCGCCTCCAGTGGGACGCAGCCACAAGACGCCGACGACGCCGGGCCGGCTCTCAGGGCCGCCACGCGCCACCGCTGGGACATCGCCGTCCTTATTCACCCCTCTACCTCAGTGTCCCCAGCTGTAAAATTTGGCCCCCATTCCACCCAAAGGGCAGCACCACTGGCAAGTGTTATTCAAAATTTCTGCCAAGAGCTTCACCTGCTTTTATAAAAGATACACTTAACATTTAATAAACCTAACTTACAACAGTTGCAAGAGTAATCAGGATCATTTCTATATTTTTTAAAACCTTTAAAAAAAAGAAGAGCTGCTGGAAACCTGCTATCTCTTGGTGAGAAAGAATCGAATTCAACCTTTCATGAAATAACAATGTTAGATGGGAAATCTATACTTTGAGAAAAACCTTTTCCTTCACATCTTGCTTGTAGAGATCTGATGGGTCACAATGAGGGGGACAAGGGAAAAGCCACAGGAATTTGTGTACAAGCTCACAAATCTTCCCCCTGATTCCCGGTGGGTTGATCTTGGCGCCTGAATGAGGATGACGGCCACTACAGAGCAGCCCAAGGGACCAGAGCACTTCAGATCAAGTCTGTCGGGAGCAGATCTGATGCAGAATTTAAAGCTCTCACATCACAGGAAAATACTTGTGCTCCAAGTGAAAGGATTTCAAGGCAGTTCACGTGTCACATCAGCTGGGCCCTCCGGTGGCAGGGACTGGTCTAGGCAGCACCTTGCAAATGTCCTTTCAGCAACACAGTCCTGCCTGTGCTCAGGAGAAACTGAGGAAAGGGCTGAGCTCTGGGGCCTTCAAGAGGGCACGGAAGCCTTGCTGTTCCAGCAGGTATTTAAAAAACCCCAATAATCTCTAAGCGTTCCTCAATCTGTTAGGTTGCTAATTATCACATCCTAAAAGAGCAACGTTAATTTCATGCAGTGTCCCACCATTACCTCTGTTATGGGTGGAACTGTGTCCCCCAACCCCAAATTCATATCCTAACACCCAGTACATCAGAATAGGATCTTATGTGCAAAAAAATTCACTGCAGATGTGATTAGTTAACATGACCTCATACTAGGGTAGGATGGGCCCCTTACCCAGTGACTGGAGTCCTTAGGGAAATTTTGGTGAAGATGAATGCAGGAGCTTTATAAGCCAAGAAACACCAAAGATGCCCCCAAACCACGAGAAGCCCAGAGACAGGCCTGGAACAGATCCTCCCTCACAGGTTCAGGGGGTATCAACCCTACCGACACCTTGAAGACCTTGGACTTCTGGCCTCCAGAATGGTGGGAGAATCAATCTGGGTTGTTTGGAGTGCCCCCAATTGGTGGCCGGAGCAAACTAACAACCTTTGATACCTAGTTTCTGTCCTCATGATCCTCCTAGAGTGAGCTCACACACACACACACACACACACACACACAGTCTCTCTCTCTCTCTCTCTCTCTCCCCCCAACCTAGGTTATCCCTAGAACATTTCAAAACCCCCTTTATTCTCTCCATCCCGACTGTCTGTACTTGTTGAAATCATCCAGGAGTTTCCTGCCTGCCTCACACTTGCCCTCGGCCGCAGACCTGCCCCCACAGCAGTCCACAATCTGCAGGATCCACACCACACCACAGTTCCTACCCTGAGCCCACGCTCTTCTTCGTCGCCCCGGGACCCTGCCTCCCCACTGCCTGGCCTTGCACCCCCAGCAGCTCCCTGATGCACTAGCCTCTGAGGGCACAACGGCCACACACACCTGTCACCAGTCTGGGTGGCCTCCAAGCAGGAGGTGAGCAGCGGAGCCTGTCCCTGGGGCCACCTGAGTTCCCAAACTACCAGCATCCCTCCCCGACCTCTCCCTCCCCAGGGAGCAAGAGCCTGGTGGGCAGGGGTCAGTACCCAGCTCTCCAGGCACGGAATGGCTTGGAGCTGAGCACCTCCTCCTTGCATGTCCTACCCACAGACCTTGCTGGATGAATTTCACATCCCTTCTTTCATTTTCTTCCTTTCAAGTGTGTTTGTGGAGTCTTGTTATCAAGTTATGCTTGCAGATAGTTCAATCACAGTATTTAAGTTAAGAAAGGTTTGCAAGGACCTCTCTTTTTGTTCCTTTACAATCTCCAGCTTTGTAACCTCAGCAAAGGACTCACCTAATTTACATCATCTCTAAAAGGAGGGGTGATCCTTTCTTCCACCTCTAAAGGTCCCTCCCAATTCTAAAATCACTTTATGTTTCCCCTCAAGGTATATAATTAGCATGTCTTTTCAATATCTTAAAATTACAAATACTAGACACCTGTAATTGGCTTACGTGATTTTTCTGGTACTATACATACATCAGGAAAAAAATTAAATACTCTTATGCATTTGCCGTGAGCCCAAAGATTTAATAATTAGGTAAAATTCAGCCAGGTGCTGAAGTACCCAGGGTGTGAGAAGAAAGAACATGAGTAATAAATGTTATATATAAATAAACTCCTACTGACCACTGTCAGGCTCCCCTGGAATGTGGCCACCAGGTACTGGGAGAAACGTGGTCTGGCACGTAAATAAAATAAGACTTTAAAACTCGTTTTCTACAGTTTAGAAACACAAAGGGGAGAGCCTCAGGAGGACAGCCTGTGAGGAACTGAGCTGCTCTGGCTTCAGTGGGAGCCATAGCTCTTGTTACTTCAATGCAAACACCCTGGCCCATCCCAAGCATTAGATCTTTGCCTACCTTAAATTTAAGAGGACACCACCAAACTCTGCATCCAACTGCACTTTTCATGTAGGGTTTTTTGATGCCGATTTTATAATCCAATTTCCAATTATCTTCCTGCAGCTCTATTCTGCCCAGCTTTGTGTTCCTAACACGCAATGCCCAGCCTTCCCCGTGGCCAACACTGTAAACTTGTTACGTGAATGGCGTTCAACATTCTCAGCCAAATATTATTACATAATATTAAATTACTTCTGGGATGATTTTACTTCTAGAGTGTCCCCAAACCTGACCTCATCTTGGAAACAGTCAGCATGGGTTGGCCCAGCAAACCTGTGTACAGGTGTGCGGTGGGCACGGCAAGCAGGGGTGTGCAGACCCTGGGGCCACGGAGCCCACACGTGGCTCCTGGCCCGCTGGCTCGACCCCAGCACCAGGGCCCCGAACCTGGGATGACATCCCTGTGGGAACGGAAAACAGATGTCCCTCTTTCCTTACGTCTATTCCTTCCAAAGATGCGGTGAGGCCAGCAGAGGGGAAGAGCACCACGCTCAGCATTCAGAAAACAGACAGATGGGCTGCCCCACTTGCCTAAACTCAGCCTCACGTGCAATTTCTGGTTCACCCAAAGGCAAGTTTTCAGGCTTCCCAGAAAACTTCCCTGTTGACCTTTGTGTGCCCTTGAGCTTTCATTCTGAAGGGAGTCAAGGTCTTCATTTCTCCGGGTAAGAAACGGTTAAGAGGCGAACCTGGATGCTCCTACCGAGAACAAGG